CCTGCCATAGCACCCACTTGAGCTCTGTTTAAACTGGTGCTTGATAAATCCCTGTGGCCTGGATGGGGGCACAGATGAGTCATCTATCCTCAGCCCCCACAGGCTGCTGTGCCAGACTTGTACTGTCTTTGAACATTCCACTGGTGGCTGACAGAAGCCTTTTTCTAAGTCAATTATTCAGTACATCAGAAGGATACAACTTCCAGCACTCAGTCAGCAGCTCCCAACATGCTTTCTGTTGGAATAATTACTTCTGGGAGTGAAAGGGACAGAAACAATCTGGACAATGTATTCCTGCCAGAGAAAGCTTAGAAAATTAAGTTGCCATCTTTTCCGTCACCCCTCCTGGGCACGTGCAATGAGAATTAGAAATTGTATATTAAATGCAATTCTGGAAACTTTCAAAGCTATCACTCAAGGAGAAATGAGATCAGACAACAAAAAACAAAACCTCAAACCAGGGCAGGAAGGAAAGTCTGATATCAGGAAACCGCTAACCCGAACCAGATCTTCTAACAATCAGAGTGATTTCGTTGGTGATTTATTCACGTCTAATCGAGTTAGGAGGAATTTTCACAAGTCTGGATGGAAGCTGTCAAGTGGGGAGAGATGAGCACAGATGAGGTGTTCGGTACCGCAATCTGCACTGGCCAGCCTACCCGCCTGCTGGCTGTGGTATTACCACCTGAGTCTCCCTGGGGCGTGCTGAGGTTGGCACAGTCTCCAGCCAGGCATGCAGGAAGCCCGGGTCCTTTATCCAGAGCCATGGCTAACACCAGGAATGCAAGGGTCCACAGCAGAACCTCATCTCTGGGTGCGGGCACCTAGTGATGGGCAAGTGATGGAGATGCAGGTGAACATGGACCTTCTGGTCTGGTGGAGGGGGACCACCCTGCTGGGAGAGCAGGTGCTGAGGCCTCTGCGGGGGATGGGGGGCTGGTGCAGCCCCGGAAGCAGTGAGGAGGTGCAAGAAGGCTTCTCAGCTGTGGATAAGGATATGTTAAGGATTGTCAAGGGCATAGGGGAAGACCTGCCCTGATAAACAGCATGGACAGAGGACCAGAGGTAAAAGAGAGCTGGGTACACAGGGGGCACCCCAAGAAGCCTGACTGTGTCAGTGGTTCTTCAAGAGGGGGGTGGAGTGGGGAGGCTGAGGTTGGAGAGGCAGCAGGGTCAGATCGTGAAGGCACAACGACTGCGGGGCGTCCACAAGGAGAGCTCCTTTCAGCTGGCAGAAAAGGCAGGCAGACTCAAGAGAGAAGTCAGAGGGTCAGGGGAAGATCTGAGACTGCTGTCCAGTTGATGGGCAAGTGATGGAGATGCAGGTGAACATGGACCTTCTGGTCTGGTGGAGGGGGACCACCCTGCTGGGAGAGCAGGTGCTGAGGCCTCTGCAGGGGACGGGGGGCTGGTGCAGCCCCGGAAGCAGTGAGGAGGTGCAAGGAGGCTTCTCAGCTGCAGATAAGGATATGTTAGGGATTGTCAAGGGCATAGGGGAAGACCTGCTCTGATAAACAGCATGGACAGAGGACCAGAGGTAAAAGAGAGCTGGGTACACAGGGGGCACCCCAAGAAGCCTGTGTCAGTGGTTCTTCAAGAGGGGGGTGGAGTGGGGAGGCTGAGGTTGGAGAGGCAGCAGGGTCAGATCGTGAAGGCACAACGACTGCGGGGTGTCCACAAGGAGAGCTCCTTTCAGCTGGCAGAAAAGGCAGGCAGACTCAAGAGAGAAGTCAGAGGGTCAGGGGAAGATCTGAGACTGCTGTCCAGCAGACCCTGCATTCGATGCTGGTGCCACCACGTTCTGTGTGACCTTGGGCTAGGGATTCCTCTGTAATTATGGGACAAGGATAACACCTCCTTCCAAGGTTGTTGCGAGGATGAGTGAGATAACATACGCAGAGCTGGGGGTATAGGTGACAGAATGGCTGTGCGCACACTGGGAGAGAACTCTAGCGGATGTAGGTGGAAAAAATATGAAAGGGGGAAAGAGGGATGAAGAAACCTCTAGTTTGTGGAAGAGTTTCCGGAGGGAGCTTGCAGACAAGAAGGGGAGAGGAAGAGGGAGTAAACATCCCAGGAATATGATCCCCCTTCTGGCATTTTCTCAGAATATTTGAAAGTATTTTGAAATTGCTTTTTGCTCACTTTTGGTTGATGGCCTGAGATTCCTCTGACCCGGGGCCATGAGTGATCGGTGAAAGGCCCTGTCACCTGGCCCACACAGGCTCTCAGAGGAGCTTGCCAGTGTTGCCAAGTTTCATGGTTGCGGTTATTTTTAGGGCTAGACTGTCACAAAGGCCCCTTTCCAGGGTACACACAGCTCTGTGACCCTAAAGCCCTCGTCCACGCACTGGAAGACAAGGCATCCAGAGACCTGTCTCTGTGGGGAGAGTGTGACTCCCACTCCAGCCCCAGAACTTTCTCAATCTCTGCCTTGTAATTGCAGGGGAGTATCACCTCTCTGCATCACCTGCACCCCAGCAGACAATATGAGGCCTCTGGTACTGTGAAGAAGAGGCAGGTGTCTGGGGAATAAACCACGTATGTCCAGAGGGAATTGGAGAATGCTTGCCCTCTGTTGACAATTGCATTCCACAGCTTGCTGCTTCAGCAGCTAGAAGCAAACCTAGGCCTGATTAAGCTCTTATTCAATAAGCCTCTTGTCCAGGGAAGAACAGGAGACACACATTTTTTAGACTGTTTTTTTGGCCAGAGAACGCTCTGGAATAGACTGCTTTGGTCTCAGGACGCTAGCCTATACTGAGTCAATGTCATTCTCAGCAGAGCACAGTAACCAAACTTGATTTATAATATAGCTTTGCTCTTAGATATTAAAGTGTTAATGAAATTGTTGTCATGAAAAAGAATAGCTTGTACTTTTATTTTAGCCATTCTCAAGGTCCCATCTCTTTTTAAAAATTCATTTCCACCCACTTAAGGAAACTGTCTGATTATCTACTTAAAAAAAAAAAATCGGTCCTTGCCCCCGCCCCCACCACCCTCCCACCCCTGCCCGAGGGTGATTTATTTTCTCTATAGAAAAATGTTAATAACTGGCCAAAAATCTAGTGGTAAATGCAAGGAAAAATGAGGTCTTTGGAAATGAAAACAAATAATTCAGTTTTCTTCCTTCAAAGAAATGGCTGCACCCAAAAGACACACAAGTAAAGTGGAAAAACAAATGATGTCAACTCTAAGTTCCAAGAAAGCCTTCTTGTCTTTCTTTCCATCTCTGCATCTCCAGACATTTACAGAGCACTTGTGGGCGCCAGGTCTCACTTAGGAAACTCACAGGTCAGGGCAGATGACAAACCCTTTTAACAGATCACTGCAGCGAAACGAGAAAAGTGCCTCCAGGAGAGACAGGTAGCAAGACTGCAGAGGCAAGAATCTCAAAGATAAAAGGGCAGGGATGGTTTCACAGAGGAGGGGGCATCTGAGTAGGGTATTGACGGGTGAGTAGGAGTTATCAGACTGAAGAAGTAGGAAAAGACACATGTTGTGTGGGGAAAGCGGAATACCCAACCTGAAAGGAAGCACAGCTGAAAAGCATGGGGGGGACAGACATGTGCTGAAGATAGAAACCCAGCTCAGTGCCTAGACCTTATATTCTAACTGAGCAGAAAGGGTCCTATGCAGTGTTACTGAGGAACTGAACAACAGGCAGTCCAGTGGATAGGACTCTCTGCTCTCACTGCTGGGCCTGGGTTCAGACCCTAGTCTGGGAACTAAGATTCTGCCAGCCATGTGGCATGGCTGAAAACAAAACAAAACAGTGGAATTCATTCTAGAATGCAAGGATGGTCCAATATTAGGAAATATGTGTATACATCATGCTATGGACAGCAAGGAGATCAAACCAGTCAATCCTGGAGATCAAACAATCAACACTGAATATTCATTGGAAGGACTGACGCTGAAGCGCCAGTATTTTGACCACCTGATGCAAAGAGCCAATTCATTGGAAACGACCCTGATGCTAGGAAAGATTGAAGGCAGGAGGAGAAGGGGACGACAGAGGATGAGATGGTTGGGTGGCATCATTGACACAATGGACGTGATCCAAACAAAATCCGGGAGATAGTGAAGGACAGGGAAACCTGGCATGCTGCAGGGCATGGGGTCCAAAAAGTCAGGCATGCCTAAGCAATTGAACAACAATATGCAATATTACAGAAATCATTCTGGCTGCAATGGAGAAGACAGACCAGTAGGGGCCCATCCTGAGTTGTAAGGCCAGGGAGGCAACTACTACACTGGTCCAAGTGAGAGATGAGGGGCCTGTAGCAGGGCAGTGGGGAGTGGACGCAGAAGGGCAGGTACAGGTAGGATCAGCAGGACTAGGTGACCAGTCCTGTAGTCTCAGGTTTTCATGCAGAGAATGTGGAAAGTTGCATGCAGGTTGAGAGTCAACCGTATAATTCATGTTGAGAAGGAAAAACCCAGAAACAAATACAAGAACAAAAAAGCAAACCAAAAGAAATGATAGTGGCAAGATGGAAAAAGGTGGGAGGCATCTAGCTGAGAAGATAAAGGCAAAGGGAACTGAGTAGAGAAGATGCTGAATTAGCGTTGCATAGTCTCAGGTATGAAAGAAGTCTTCCCTGATATATGGTTCTAACCTTTCTTTACATACTTCTGTTGATGGGGAGCTCATTACCTGTGGAGTCATCCTACTCCTAGCTTTGAACCATAATCTTTTCCTCTGGCTCCATACAGATTCCTTTGAATTTTTACTCTCTGTTAAAATTGCTCAGTGACACTTTTTGGAAACCTGTCTGATTTAGCACAAAGCACCTGGATGGCCTAACAGGCCTCCCATCTTTCTCATGGAGAATTCTCCACCAGAGCAGGGCAGAGGCTGAGACAATTCACAGTGCAGGGACGCAGACTACAGCACACGGGAGGTTGCCTACTCTTGCCCCCGACCTGGGGTTCTAAGCTACTCTGCCTGTCTGTGTCCCCCGCCCCATCGCATCCCGTCAGAAAATCACCAGTACCGTGCTGTTGCAGCCAGCAAAGCAGGCGGACAGGTAGGTGATGCCGTCTGCCCCGCACACTGGAGTGAAGGAGTCGGTTTGGCATTCACAGTTTTTATTGCAGGATGAGTAGGGGTCCAGGGCTGAGCCAGGCATTGAGCTGGAAAAGAGAGGACAGGTGGCATCCATCAGAGAAAGGTCAGCTTCTTCTGGATCCCCATTGACAGCCCCCTGCCCTCTGGGGTCATAGTGGCCACTGCGGCCATGGTACAGGGAAGGAAGGGCGCTGGTGTTTGGACTGTGCACGGATATACAGAAGATGCCTTGGCCAGTGTGCTTCCATCCTGTCTGCCTGACCTCGCAGACAAGCCTGGCTCTGTCTGACTTAATGTCAGGAGAAAGCCAGGTGGCCTGCTCGGAGGAGGAGACTGGGGCAGGGAGGAACTGGGATCCTGCGGGCCAAGCATGCTGCAGCCCTGATGTTCCAGACTGGACTCCCAGGTAGATGCAGAGGCTCATGTAGAAAAAGGAGCAGCCACTGGTACTGGATATATCAGGACTCTCCATAACACCCTCTAAGGAAAAGTCTGATCCAACTTCAGTTCAAAGTCTTGGGATAATAGATAGGAAATAAGATGTCCTGTAGGAGCAAAATTCCTTCCTTCCTTCCCTCCCTTCTCTCCTCGTCCCCCACCCCACACTTATCAACACCCACCATGGGTTGGACCCTGTGATTACTATGTGAGCCTAATGACAGCTTCTGATTGTTTAAGGANAAAGAGTCGGACACAACTGAGCTACCAACACACATACACACTTCTGTCCTCTATTATAAGCTGAATTTTAAAATAAAACCTATTTTTAATTTTCTATCTTCATTCCGAAAATCAAATGCCAAAAATAGGCACTTGAGTTCTCTGGGGAGTGAGTGTCTGCCTGTCTCCCCAGTGCTCCCCTAGCCATCCTGGGAGACAGCCTTTAAGTGGAATTCTGTCCTCTCCACCCAGAAGGTTCACATGTATCCTTCAACCCTGGGTGGAAGATGCAGGGGCATCATCAACTTCCAGGTCAGCGTCACTAGGGACGAAGCTGGCTCCATTAACGTACTCCGGAGAGAGGGTCTTGGCATCCCTGGGCAGGCAGGGGATGGTGGGGCGGGTGTGTGTGTGTGTGTGTGTGTGAGAGAGAGAGAGAGACCGAGAGAGAGACCTTTCTGAGGTGTGTGTGTGTGAGAGAGAGAGACCTTTCTGAGACTTACGAGTTTCCATAGGGAACAGTAACCCCAGCCACGGGGCCCGTGTCACAGCCCAGGAAGAGGAAGGAGACGTAGCAAGCGGTGGACACCAGGTTGACGAGCATGGCCATCCGAATGGCCCCGAGGGCAGACAGGCTGAGTTTCTTCACCAGGAGACCGCCCAGGAAGATGCCCAGACAGGCACATGGGATCGCAGTCATCCCTGGAGCAGAGCAGAGGGGCGGGAACCGTTAGCCGGGGGAGCAGGGCCAGTCAATGCAGACACTGGGCGCCATCCCCGAGGCTGAGCCCTGCGTGAACAGAATCCCCCGTGACAATACCGCGGTGCCACTTCCTCCCCTGTACCCCGAAGTCTCTGCTAACAGCCTCATTTCTATGCTCAAGGAGCCCATGGATAACTGGGGAGACACAGACATGTAAAAACTCGCAGTGATGAGGCATGTAAGTCATACACCTCTCATGCTAAGCGGGGAACCCTCACGGGAAACAGCCCCAGCTGCTGTGAGAACAACCGACAGACAGGGCAGATGGGCTGAGAAACACGCATGCGTGTTAGCAACGTGTCCTCTGTGTTTCCCAGGCGGTGCGGGAAGGGGGCTCAAGATCATTTGGGGATTTTCTCCTCTTCAGGCAAAGAAGGGTTTGGAGGTTGTTTAAACAGAGGCCCCAGAACTCACCAACCTAGAGAGAGACAGTGTTTTAACCAGACCCGCAACCTCTCAGGAAGTAGCATTGATCTAATCAATACATTTTGTAGCTCCTGGTGAGTAACTGGCATACATTTTTATCCCCCACCCCAACACCTTCTTATAAACAGAGCTATCTGCAAGGCAGCAGGACTATAAACCTTCTATTTCTGATTCTCAGAGACTCAGGGCATCTTAGGAGGACTAAAGGATCCTAGGGGTTCCAATCTCTTGTTTGGTTTTGTTCTCATTCATTTCATCTAAACTCAGCTTTAAATTACTGCATGTCATTTATCCGCCATGTAGACTGTGCGTGGCCAATTTTCCAGTTTAGGCTGCCTCTTGCTTGCCAATCAACAGACCTCTAGGTCAATTGACTACATCAATCAGCTGGTATGTGCCAAAGGAATGCAAATTAATTTTAATATTCGGGTGAGAAAAGCATAATCAGGGAGGCTGAGCTCTGCAAAGAAAATAGCACAAGTCAGATTTTAAGAAAATCACAGTATTTTTGTATTACTTGACGTTCTTTCTCATCCTGGTACAGACATGATCTTCAGGACCTCACCCCTACTTGCCTGTCTCTCCCCTATGCCATACTGACTCCCCAGCCATATGCAGTCCTCTTCTCTTCCCCCTGGAACAGACCAAATCCATTCAAGCCCCTAGTCTCTGCACTTGCTGATTCTTCTTTTATGACATTCTGTTGTTGTTTAAGTTGCTAAGTCCTGTCTGACTCCTTGCAACCCTATGGACTGTAGCCCACCAGGCTCCTCTGTCCATGGGATTCTCCAGGCAACAATACTAGAGTGGGTTGCCATTCCCTTCTCCAGGGGATCTTCCCAACCCAGGGATCAAACTTTCGTCCCCTGCATTGGCAGGCAAATTCTTTACCGCTGAGCCACCAGGGGAGCTCCCAGGACATTCTTACCCTATGTCTTTACCTGGCTGGGCCCTAACCTCACAGGGAGCCCAGGACACCCCACCTAGAGCGACTCTGCAGCCCATCTGAGATTCCTTACTGTCTCCTGCCGTGTTTTATTGTTTACATGGCTCTCTCCTCATTACGTGAAGCTGCCTCGGACATTTCTGGTTTTCTGGTTTCTTGTTCTCTCTCCCCCTCCTAAGATGCAGTTTCCCCAAGGACCGGTTCCATCCTGTTCAGCCCTGGTTTCCTATGCCTAGCACAGCGGCCAGCCCAGAGTAGGCACTTGGGAACTGTTTTCTGGATGAACAAAAGAGCGAGCAGGTTGGATCTGTGTCAGTGAACACCGATGACCACAGCCCATGCCCGAAGAGCATCTCTGTCCATGGGATTCTCCAGGCAACAATACTGGAGTGGGTTGCCATTCCCTTCTCCAGGGGATCTTCCCAACCCAGGGATCAAACTTTCGTCCCCTGCGTTGGCAGGCAAATTCTTTACCGCTGAGCCACCAGGGGAGCTCCCAGGACATTCTTACCCTATGTCTTTACCTGGCTGGGCCCTATCCTCACAGGGAGCCCAGGACACCCCACCTAGAGCGACCCTGCAGCCCATCTGAGATTCCTTACTGTCTCCTGCCGTGTTTTATTGCTTACATGGCTCTCTCCTCATTATGTGAAGCTGCCTCGGACATTTCTGGTTTTCTGGTTTCTTGTTCTCTCTCCCCCTCCTAAGATGCAGTTTCCCCAAGGACCAGTTCCATCCTGTTCAGCCCTGGTTTCCTATGCCTAGCACAGCGGCCAGCCCAGAGTGGGCACTTGGGAACTGTTTTCTGGATGAACAAAAGAGCGAGCAGGTTGGATCTGTGTCAGTGAACACCGATGACCACAGCCCATGCCCGAAGAGCAGGCTGCATTCCATTCCATTTTCCATCAAAGGCGGCAGGGAGCAGCCCCTGGTGATGATGGTAACTATGGCAATAACAGGCTTTGGGCACCTTCTCTCCAAGCCATCATCCACTTCCCCTCTCTCTCCCTGATGAGTATGAAGCCTTAGCATGTGGGCGGTTATCAAAACTTCCCTGAAAACTCCATCCTCATTACATTAACCTATGCAGATTGAGTCCTTCTTATCTTCATGCATAAATCAAGGCCATCAGTCCTTAATCATCTGTGCTGCTCTTTTTCGGAACTCTGCCCCATCTACTGATGAATTCGTGGGTGGCCCAGAGACAGCACTGATGGCCCAGGCTGACGGCAGGGGGCTCATCCCCTAGGTCTGTGGGAGCTACTGATGAAGGTCTCTGGGACACAAGTCTTGCCTTAGGCTTCCGTGGCCTCTCTCTGTCCCCTCAGGGCCCCTCGTCAGCCCCTCCTGCAGCCAACCCTCCAGACAGCATGACAGCGTGATGCCACGGGCAGGGCACAGGGATAGGGCATATGTCCTGCCTGCCTGGACTGCCAGACAGATGGACAGACTGACAGATGGCCACCAGGCTGCCTCTCCCCGGGCCAAGTGCTCTAACAGAGTCACTGAGACAGAGACAGATGCAGGAAAGCGAGATTGATTTTTGCTTTCTGCCCTGAAAACTATTGATTTGTTGATAGGAAACTTTAGGAATCTGTTCTGAAGTAGAACAGAGCCCCAGCTTTGAAGCAAATGTAATCAAAATGTAAGAAGCTGCAGTCAAGAAATCAGGAAGTGAGAGAGAAAGTCTCTGGGTGCTGGAGGGCTAAACCTGAGAGATCGTAGGTGTAACGAAGTTATAGCTTTAATTACAGAGACACTTTTTACCCTATCTCCGTCAGATGGGTACTAAGGGCTGACTGCATTTTGCTAATATCTCTTGGGAAAAAATGCTTATAAAAGAGTGGGTGGTAAAGAGTTATTAGTGAGAAAAAGAAAAACATCAGCCTTGTGCTGCTCTGGCAGCCTTCAGGGAGAGGTGCTGGGGTCTGGCCACATCCTTGTTGGTAGGGCTTTATTTATTTTTTTATAAACTCGATACCTTATGTTCTGTGACGCGCACAAGACTAAGGGAACACCGATGACTTGTTGCGTCTGTACCCACCCCTGTACTAAAACACTTCCAGCAGCATCTGGGCTTCCCTGCTGTCCTCATTCTCCCAAAGTCCAAGAGTAGCTATCATTCAGGCCTCTATTACTTTAATTAATTTTCCCATTAAAAAAAAGTATTTATTTTCCTTATTTTTGGTTGCACCGGGTCTTCACTGCTGCGCGGCCGTTCTCCAGTCGCAGAGAGTGGGAGGCTGCTCCCGAGCTGTGGTGCGCAGGCTGCTCACTGAAGTGGCTCCTCTTGCAGCAGATCACAGGCCTCAGTACTTGTGGCTCTGGGGCTCCAGAGTTTGGCCTCAGTAGTTGTGGTGCACTGGCTTAAAGCTGCTTCACAGCATGTGCAATCATCCTGGACCAGGGATTGAACCCGGGTCCCCTGCATCTGCAGGCAGATTCTTATCCATTGTACCACCAGAGAAGTCCAACTTTTCCTTTTTCTAACTCTTATTAATATGACTCTTTGAGTCTGACGTCTTTTGACAGATCCATCCACATTGAGATATATATACAAGCTCTTGCTTTCTTACGCTGTGTGGCAGTCCACTGTATGAATATTCTATAATTTATTTACCCATTCTACTAACTGATAGATATCCAGACTGTTTCAAGTTTGCAGGTTTATGCATAAGGCTGTTTTAGATACTGTTACCTATGTGCATATATATGTTTAGTTGTGAAGTCATGTTTGACTATTGTGACCCCATGGACTATAGCCCGCCAGGCTCCTCTGTCCATGAGATTCTCCAGGCAAGAATACTGGAGTGGGTTGCCATTTCGTTCTCCAGGGGATCTTCTCAACCCAGGAATTGAACCCAGGTCTCCTGCATTGAACGCAGACTCTTTCCCAACTGAGCTATAAGGGAAGCCCTACTATTACCTAAGCATATATAAATAAGTGGACCTAAACACTCATTTCTGTTGGATTTACGCCCAGAAGTGGAATGCTGGATCCCAGAGTTAGTATATGCTTTCAGCTTTCGTAGGCACTGCCAAAGAATTCTTCCCAAGTGCTTGTACCTCTGTGCACCCCACCAGCATCAAAGGAGAGTTCCAGTGGCTCCACCTCATCACCGACACTTGCTGCTATCAGTCTGGTGGACGTGGACTAGCATTTCATTGTTCACATGTGTTTTCCTGGTGACTCATGTTGGGTCAGCACCCTCACATGGGTTTACTGGCCATTTTGTGAAAGAAACACTGAAGGAGAAGATCAGAAAATATCACCTTGCCATTCTTCTCAGGACATGATCTACTCCTACTTAACAGAAGATCATTCCATGGGGCGGGAGTGTTCTCAACTTCCAGACTGGACTTGTCACATTCTTGGGGGTCATCCTCATGTCTCTTCTCTTTTCTGCAGTTTCCAAAACAGATGAGCTCTTCCATCAAAGGCTGTCCGCCACATTCCCTCTCTTTTCCACACATCACCTCTGCTGGCTCTTTTCCCTCTGCTTAGACACCTGTTCAAGTCCTTCCTGCCACAATAGCAACTGTCTCTTAGCAACAGTACCATTACTCCAATCACTTGACGGCAACACACATCACCCACCATGTCTCCACTCCTTCCTTCCACTGCTAAGCTTGGGAAAGTGTCCTGCAGTCACTGGTTATTCTTTCCCTCCTTACACCACAACATGGGCTCACCTGCTGCAGCTTCAAGGACACAGCCCTGACATAGGCTGAAAGACAGCCTGCTTGTTGAAGGGACCCAAGGCATGTGAGGTTGCATCACACACGGACACTCTCACTGCTGATGGCTTCTTTCTTGGAATCATCTCTTCCTTGACACCCTGTGATCCACAAGTTTCAGGAGTTGCCTCTATGGTTTCCTCTACTTCCCCATGGGTGGTGTTTCACTCTTCTATTTCTACACATTTTCCTTCTGTAAATTCCATTCCTGTGTCCTCAGTGACCGTGCACACACTGATGTGATCCACATCTCCTTCTCCAGTCCTCAGCCACACACAGGACATCATGTGGATACATCATGGCCATCTCACACTCAGCAACTTCACGTCTGAACTCACAGCCTTCCCTACAGATCTGATTCTTTATTGCTACTTTCAGGCTTCACAAACAGTACCACCCCCTGTCTAAGCCAGAAACCTGGAAGTCATTCTTGACCCTTCTCTCTCCTTGTTGTGCTATGAGATCACTTTCCCTATCAGGTATAAGTAATCCTGCTTCTCATGAGTGGAAACTGGTTCTCTTTAGCAGGCCAGCTCCAAAGGACTGGAGGCAGATGTCTGTGGTTTACTGCTGAGAAGATTGGTAAGGCCACACTTGAGCTTGGGGAGAAGGAATGTTATGATCCATTAGTTATGTCTGCCATGGGCACAAGGATGGAGGAGAGCAAATGGCTTCTAACCTCTACATCTGTTGACCATGGGTTTTATGTTTCCAAGAATATTCTTGCTTTTTTACGCTCCTGATCAAAGCCTATGGGGTTGGGCAAAAAGTTCATTTGGGTTTCTCCATCACATCTTATGGACAGAATGATCTTTTTGGTCAACTCAGTACTAACCTTTTAAGATCCATCTTGATTCCCCTTTTTGTTCATCACATCTTCCCCCTAATTCTCCAGTTTACACCAATTTATGGGCTTCCTGGCCTGTCACAATGCTTCCTATGCACATTTTATATTTTAGCTCTTTATTATCACGTACTTCAAGCAACTGCTTCAAGCAGGAAATCTTACTCCAAGAAAATACTCTGAAATTCTTCTGCACACAGACCACATGTATATTCTGCTGCAGGAGCAGCACGATCTGGGCTGTTTGATTGGTCTCAACCAACGCTTATGGTATTAGGAGCACTAGCGGCCTCCCGGTGTGGGGTGGGGGCAGGTGGGTGACACAGACTTACCTAGCAGCTGGTTGGCAGAAGAGGTGGTGAGGTTAAACTGCTGCTCCAGATACTTTCCCAAGAAGGCAGCGAAGCCAGCCACCACTGCAATCTCCATGCAGTTTTATGGGCTTCCTGGCCTGTCACAATGCTTCCTATGCACATTTTATATTTTAGCTCTTTATTATCACGTACTTCAAGCAACTGCTTCAAGCAGGTAAATCTTACTCCAAGAAAATACTCTGAAATTCTTCTGCACACAGACCACATGTATATTCTGCTGCAGGAGCAGCATGATCTGGGCTGTTTGATTGGTCTCAGCCAACGCTTATGGTATTAGCAGCACTGGCGGCCTCCCGGTGCGGGGTGGGGGCAGGTGGGTGACACAGACTTACCTAGCAGCTGGTTGGCAGAAGAGGTGGTGAGGTTAAACTGCTGCTCCAGATACTTTCCCAAGAAGGCAGCGAAGCCAGCCACCACTGCAATCTCCATGCAGGCGGCCAGGATGATACAGGTAAACACAGGGTTTGAGAGCAGGTGCTTCGTGACCTTTGGGATCACTGCAGGGAGAGAAGTGGGGGACCAAGGTCATAGACACCACACTCCAGGCCTTCTGCCGCTGAGGCCCACTCGACCCATCCCAGGAAACAGCACCTGGCTGCTCAGGCTGAGGCCTATGACCTGTAAGTCAGTCATAATTGTGAAAGCTCTGGCTTCAAAATACACGCTAATATTTTGTCAACTAAACTGAAAACTACTAAACCAGGAAAAACCACACAATGTCTTTTTTTTTTAAACAGCACACTGGAAACACTATTTTATAAGCCATCCAAAAATTTTTATTTCTATCCAACATATAGAAAGAGGCATTTGGGGTTTGTTCCTCAAAAGGTAAAATATAACTTAATTATATATTATAAATACATTATAAATGTATTAATTATATTAATATATCTAAGTTATATATACATACATTATATTTTATTTTCTTGGGCTCTGAAATCACTGTGGATGGTAACTGCAGCCATGAAATTAAAAGATGCTTGCTCCTTGGAAGAAAAGCTATGACAAACCTAGACAGTATATTAAAAAGCACAGACATCACTTTGCCGACATGGTCCATGTAGTCAAAGCTATGGTTTTTCCAGTAGTCATGTATGGATGTGAGAGCTGGACCATAAAGAGTGCTGAATGATGAAGAACTGATGCTTTCTAATTGTGGTCCTGGAGAAGACTCTTGAGCGTCCCTTGGATTGCAAAGAGATCAATCCAGTCCATTCTAAAGGAAATTAAACCTGAATATTCATTGGAACAACTGATGCTAAAAGCTGAAGCTCCAATACTTTGGCTACCTGATGCTAAGAGCCAACTCACTGGAAAAGACCCTAATGCTGAGAAAGATTGAAGGCAGGAGGAGAAGAGGATAAGATGGTTAGATGGTATCACCGACTCAGTGGACTTGAGTTTGAGTAAATTCCAGGAGATAGTGATGAACAGGGAAGTCTGGTGTGTTATAGTCCATGAGGCTGCAAGGAGTTGGACATGATTTAGTGACTGAACGACAACAAAGTGGATATATCAATACATTTGTGATAAATATTTATAACTGCATGTGTTAAGAAAATATAATCTTTAACAACTCATTTTTTTATTTTACATTGGAGTACAGTTGATTTAAAATGCTGTGTTAGTTTCAAGTGTACAGCAAAGTGATTCAGTTATACACGTATCTATTCTTTTAAAGATATATTTAATCTTAATAGTTTCAAGAAAAATGAAATGTTAGTATGCATGTGCTCTGCTTAGTCACTCAGTTGTGTCCAACTCTTTACGACCCCATGGACTATAGTCCCCCAGGCTCCTCTGTCCACGGAATTTTCCAGGCAAGAATAGTGGAGTGGGTTGTCATTTCCTCTGAACGACAACAAAGTGGATATATCAATACATTTGTGATAAATATTTATAACTGCATGTGTTAAGAAAATATAATCTTTAACAACTCATTTTTTAAATTTTACATTGGAGTACAGTTGATTTAAAATGCTGTGTTAGTTTCAAGTGTACAGCAAAGTGATTCAGTTATACACGTACCTATTCTTTTAAAGATATATTTAATCTTAATAGTTTCAAGAAAAATGAAATGTTAGTGTATGCATGTGCTCTGCGTCACTCAGTTGTGTCCAACTCTTTACGACCCCATGGACTGTAGTCCCCCAGGCTCCTCTGTCCATGGAATTTTCCAGGCAAGAATAGTGGAGTGGGTTGTCATTTCCTACTCCAGGGGATCTTCTCGACCCAGAAATCTTACATCTCCTGCAATGGCAGGCAGATTCTTTACTACTATGCCACCTGGGAAGCCCAGGATATGTATATGTATATATATGTGTATGTGTGTGTGTATTCCCCATATATGTGTGTGTACGTATGTGTGTGTGTGTATATATATTTCCAACCTCTATCCCACCCTTCCTTCTCACAACCATAGGTACCTGGCCAAGCTTCCGTGATCATTCACTTGGGGAGACCAGAGTCTTCTTTACCACTTTTACTCTTGATGCAAAACAGCCCTTCCCTATACAGTAGCCAGTGGGACCAGCTCTAACCATTTTCCCATTCAGAACTCCAGAATGGCCCAAATCCACACGTGGCACGATGGCCCACGGTCTGCCCCTCGGCTGTCTGATCACACTTCTGATCACGCTCTATCCTCGCTCTGGCCCCACCCCAGCTGGACCTGGTCCTCCCCACCCAGGTCTGNGGGGGGGGGGGGGGGGGGGGGTCTTCCCTCCATTAGGATGCTCTGGTCCCAGATCTTTGCTCCATCTGTTCCTCCTTCCTCGGATGACCTTTCCCGTCACTCAAGGCAACCCAGAAGCTGCCCTGGTGCTCAGGGCTCAAATGAGCATTAATGCTTGGCAAAAATACTTTGTGGCTTGTGTACCACTTTAATTACCAATGGAACTGAAGCAGGTTTTTGTTGAGCTGGTTCATTTCAATCTGATTGTATTATACTCTGTTTTTTAAGTATGTGATTTCATAAACCACCGGGATTTCACTTTAATTCTGTGCTTTCACAAGTGAGATATTTGGTATTCTTAAAATCCTTTGAGAGTAATCACGTTATTTAGATATTTTCAGCCATTAGTATCCTTGGTACAGGGTCTTTGACCAGATCTCCTCAGCTGTGGAGTGATGACATGTTCTGGAAGTATGCAAGGGAGTCTGGGGGTACCAGAACATACCCATCATTTCAATATTTATGCTATCATTTTGATATGTACTAAGTAAAAAAAGTTAACTAAAATAAAACTGATAAATCAAGTGTTTGGTTTCATGGCTACAATAACTTAAAATGATGCTAGGTTAAAACAAGTAGACTGAAGACTTCCCTGGTGGTCCAGTGGTTAAGAATCCCCCTGCCAGTGCAAGGGACATGGGTTTGATACCTGGTCTTGGAAGATCCCACATACTGTGGAGCAACTAAGCCTATGCACCTAAGTACCATAACTTCTGAGTCCAAGCTCTAGAGCCCTTGCTCTGCAAAGAGAGAAGCATCGCAATGAGAAGCTACATATCACAATAAAGAGCAGCCCCTGCTCGCTGCAACTAGAAGAAAAACAAACAGATTTACAGTTACTTAAAGAGAAGTCATGTAAATAATGGTACAGCTGGTAAGGAGATAAGGCAGAAATGTGTAAAAGTGGTACATCAGTGACAAGTTAGGGGACCTCTGTTCCCCTGTAATCATAATAATGTGGAACACTTGGCACATGGTATACTTGATCCCACCTGTGTGAACAGAAAAAGGTAAAAGAGAGTCCCAGATGAACACTGTACCACCCCAAGTCTAGGAAAAAACAATCAGGGCCCACGGTCATACAAAATAAGCAGGTGAGCTGTGTCTAGCACTGCTCACCAAGAAGATGAATTAGCCAGCTGTCCTAAAGAAGAGAGCTTATTACACAGGCTCAATCTCATCTCCTAGGAGACAAAACCTCTAAATGGCCCAACTAATTAGAATAAAATAATAATAGGAGATACATAAGTTTTTAATAATGTTAACAGACATACTCAATTAATCAAAATGACAGAACAATGGGTCAGAAACTGGCAGATACATACAACTTAAAACTTATTATTTCTGGGAAAGATACCAAGTTTCAAAAATGAAAATCTATATATAAGATAGGGACTTAAGGAGTCTTTGACATAATGAAAGGAACTTAGTTTTTGGAATGGACTGAGCCAAATTATTGGAGACTCAGAATCACCATGCACTGAGAAATCCAATTCTATATTCCAGCTGAGAAGCAATCAGACAATAACCAGAGCTGGTGGCCTCAGCTATTCTGCAGTAGTTTCTTAGAAAGAAAGAAAGTGAAGTCACTCAGTTGTGTCCAACTTTTTCGATCCCATGGACTGTAGACCACCAGGTTCCTCCATCCGTGGGATTCTCCAGGCAAGAGTACTGGAGTGGGTTGCCATTTCCTTCTCCAGGGGATCTTCCCAACCCAGGGATTGAACCTGGGTCTCCTGCATTGCAGGCAGATGCATTACCCTCTGAGAAACTACTAAAACCTTAGGAAGGCAACTCTTGGATTAAATAAATGCATGCGCAACATGCACAAAATAAAACAAAAACTTTAAAAAGGGTGGTGGTGGTTCAGCTGTGTCCGACTCTTTGCTGCCCCAGGGACTTAAATCATCAGCCTCCCATGCCTACGGAATTTTCCAGGCAAGAATACTGGAGTGGGTTGCCATTTCCTACTCTAGGGGATCTTCCCAACCCAGGGATCAAACCTGCATCTCTTCCATCTCCTGCATTGGCAGGTGGATTCTTTACCACTAGCACCACCTGGGAAGCCCTTTAAAAAGAGTATGAACAAGAATAAAGATATGGGAAAACAACTTTGAATCCATGGGATTCATAGAGCTTTATTCACATACCTACTTTATTGCAAGTGCCAGGCCTTTATGAGTGTGTTTTGTTCATCTTTTACAGGATTTCAAACATTGATAATAATCTTTTCCTCAAAATGTCATTGTGAATAATTGTCTAGAGGAGGTTACACTTAAAATCTATGTTTAAGTGTTGGAAAATTTCCCTTTGTTAAATCCACATTATTAAGTATTGTACATATATTTAGAGCAATGTTGATTGTGTAATGTTTAAAAATGTGCACTGTTCAACAAATACAAAAGATGGATGCACTGGGCATAAACAGAAGGTGACGAGGTAAATATACGTCTTCATGAACAAAACCCCTGGGATGCTAAGACTCCATCATCATAAATCACTGCTAATAAGTGAAGGCTGGTTTAACACATTGTGATGGTACAATGCATCTGTGACAAGGGATGGGCTGATTATGTCACAAAGCGCCAAGCCTCACAGAGAGTGGCATGGATTGCATGAACAACCACAGTGCTTCCTTGTAATAAATGGATTTGAAAGCCTCCAGCTGTTCATGTTTTGGCAGGTAATAACACTATTGCTCCATCATTGTAGCCTTTTGGCATTAAGATATCTAAACTCTGGAAATACTGTTGACAATCAGTA